CCGCAGAGCAGCGTGGGAGAAAGTGTGGAGTGGCGGGCGGGGCACCCTGAAGGTCAGACCAAGGAGACTCCTCTTTAAGCTGCTGGCACCAGGAAGTGAATAAAGGCGACGTGTGTGGAAGAGGCATACGGGGTGGGGGTGAGAAGAGGAGATTAGAAAGCAGGGCCACAGGGCTGCAAGACCACCGGTCAAGAGCTGGGGGGGGGATCAAGAGGGAACCAGCAAGCTGGAGCTGAGAGGAAAGGCGGGGTCAAGGGAGGGTGGGAGCTTTTGTCTTTTTCTTGCAGTTTAGAAAGACCCGAGGGGAAGCGGCATCTCTCAGGAACAGGGGCCGCGGGAGCCAGAGCCAGAGCTGGTGGAAATGGGAAGGGGAAGGTGCCCACACCATGCCGGGAACCTGGAGGTGGGGCAGTGGGGGAGACGCGCGGTGCTCCGTGGTGCTGCCCCCATGGTGGCAAGTCCTCCCTCCCTCCCCTGCGGCTGGGTCTGCAGCAGCCTTGAGGACCCTGGGGAGGCCCTGCAGGAGGGCGGACGCGAGGAGCTTGACCTTGGGGGGGCCTGGGGCCAAGCAGGGCAGGTGGAGGTCGCCCGTGCCACCCACCCAGATGAGACCCCAGAGGAAGACAAGGAGAAGGGAGACAGGGCCCTGGGACAAGCCTGAGAAACGGCCACAGGTAAGGGGGGGCGAAAGGGGGCCCACAGGAGCGGCCCGGAGGCGCAGAGGCGGGCACACAGAGAGGCAGGAGGGGAGGGGCAGGGCTTCGAAGCTCAAACGAGGCACAGAAGGGACGTGATGGCAGGAAAGGCCACTGGCCCAGAGCCAGAGTCGTCCTGGTCGTTCTAGCCGCCAAGCGTGCCCCTCGGAGGGCAGGACGGGGCAGGTGTCTGAGCGGGGGAGGAGGGGAGTGTCCAGCGTGAGGAGATGGAGGCCGGCGGAGCAGGCCACTGACAGGGTCGCGCAGAAGCGCTCACCCAGGGCGGGTCACAGGCAGCTCCCACACTCCGGCAGGTTTGGGGAAGACGGGACACGCCCCAGAGGAAGGCAGCGTGGGGGCACAGAGGGAGGAGCTTGAGAGAAACGGGAGAATTCAGGATATCAGGCCCCAAGGGAATGGCAGAGAAGCCACAGCAGGAACTCGGTTGGGCCCTGCGCTGGGTGCCAGGCTGTGAGCCGTTCTCTGTGTCTCTCTGTCTCTCTGTCTCTCTGTCTCTCTCTGTCTCTCTGTCTCTCTGTCTCTCTGTCTCTCTGTCTCTCTCTCTTTCATACACACATGCACACACGCTCCAAGATCAGTCTGGACTGACCGCAGGGATGTGCCTGGCCATCTGCCGAGCGCCGTCTGTCCTGCTTACACTCCATAAACCCAGGTTCATTACAACACAGGGATCCTCTACCCGACTGGCTCCCACTTTTTTTGGACATGAAGACCCTTCCAAAGTTTTGTGGATGCCCCCCCCCCCACTGCCTCAAACACAGGATAAGGCTTGTATTTTTAGTATCCATTTAAGAGAATACATAATAACAAAGAGCTACCTTGACTTCAACAGACCTTTAAAACAATGTATTTTATTCACCACCGCAACTGCCACACGCACCGGGAAACTGGAGAAGACAGAGGCTGAGGCACTGCGGGGAGTCAAGGGGCAGAGCGGGGTGACAACGCTGCACCTCCCCAGGTGTGTGGCTCACGGGTGGGGGATCCTGTCCGTCACATGCCCAGTCCCCAGAGCTCTGCCCTGGCATGCAGGCTCAGCCATGGGGACCCCAAGCAGATCTTGTGGGGACAGAAGGGGAGAGGACGGCCAGGCGGTTTTGACTTAGGGCTGCTTACCGTGTGGGGGGGGCACTCGGGCCCGTGAGGACGTCCTGGCCTGGAGGCAAGAGGCTGGGAAGGGAGGCAGGTGTGCAGGAGGAGGTCCCAGTGGGCACCCCCACCTTTCTGATGGGCGGGATCACAATGCCCCCCAGTGACTTGTACATCTCCTGGTCACTGCAGTGCAGGTATTGCCGGGAGATCTGCACCTAGGAGCAGAGGGGGGGACAGGTCCTGGTCCACAGAAACATGACCCCTGGACACTCACCTCCTGGCTCCTCACACAGGGTGGCCCCTTCAATCAGGAGCCACCTAGGTGGCCATACTGGGAAGTGTCCTCCGGTTTCTCTTCCCAGCCACACAGCCCTGGGACCCCAGGAAAGCTCATTGTTTCATCACCACTCCAAGCGACAAGACTGGTAAGGGGTCCCTTCATCCCTGCTCCAACCCCTTTTCCTGTTATTATTATTTGTTTTTCTCTTCTTCTCATTTTAGAAAAATCCTAGAACCCTGGAGCTGGAAGGGATCTTCTAAAGCATCTGGTCCAATCCCCTCTTTTTATAGATGCACAAACTGGGGCCCAGAAAGGGGAGTGACTTGGCCAAGGTCACACGCCAGCAAGGAGCAGAGAGAAACCAGAGTCCAGACTCCTGAGTCCTTGCCCAGCAGCCTTCCCCTCGACCACCCTCCCCTGCCTGAAATGGAAAGGGTCAGAAGCAGGAGGGACTCTGGGGCATTTAGACCAGAGGAGGCCTGGGGCCACCAAGCAAAAGGCAGATGGTCACACAGCCCCTGCTCGAGTGGAGCCCAGGAACCCTGGAGCAGCCACCCGAGCTCCCAGGCCAGCTGTAATGGTGCTGGACGCCGGGGGGAGATGGGATGAGGGCCCCAAGCCCATCCCAGTGCTGTCCCCATCCCGAGGGCAGTGCCTGAGACTCCTGGAAAAGCTCAGGACGGAAGCAAAGACAGAAGGACAGAGAGGCAGGGCTCTAAGTCGAGTCTCCTTACCTCCTGGACACTGGGTCTCCCCTCCTGGGGCCCCTGACCGCTTCCAGGCTGGTCCACGCCCATCTCCTTGGTTCCGCTGGCCTCGGGGGTGGTGGGGATGCTCTGGATGGGAGGCATCGGCCTGGGCACCCTCAGCAGCCTCTGAGAGGTAGCCCGGGGGATGGCACTCCTCAGGGGAACCCCTTTGGGGCCTCCCCCAGGATCCAGAGAGGCTGTACGGGGTGGAGATGGGGGATAAGTGAGTCCCAGGAGCTCAGAGTCGGGGTAATTCACAGGCTGGCCCGGGTGGGTGGAAAGCGGGAGGGCAGGGCCCAAGGCTCACCTTGGGAAGATGCTGCCAAGCCCTCGGACAGCCTCCTTTTCTTGAGCTTGTCCTTAATCTGGGTGGTGTCCCGGGCCACACTGCTGGCCTCTGACTCCGGCGAGGGGAGGGGCCCCAGGGGGTGAGGCCCCTGAGACAGGGCCCCGAGGTTCCTGGGGTGGCCATTCCTGGCCTGCCAGCCCTTCAGGGGAGCATCCAGCTTGGGGCTGCCAGGGTCCCCATGTCCACTCAAGAGCTGCGACGGCTTCTCCAGCAGGACACTGGGCGCTGGCTGGAGGGAAGCTGAGGGAGACAGAGGCAAGAGTGGTTGGCACACAAAGCCCAGGGCGGCCCAAGGCACCCGCAAACTCTTTGGCGCCGCCTCCTTGGAACAGTCAGCCAGCTGACCGGTGAACCCGGTCCTTCAATGCTGCAGCCAGTCCTTGGGTCGCGTCATTCATCCATCAGCGTCTGGGGAGCACCGAACCCGAACACGACCTGTGTCGCGAGGTAACCCGAGGGTGGGAGGGGGCCCGGCGTGCAGCCTTCCACAGCACAGACGAGAGGCCATAGTGCTCAGGGGAGGCCTTCTGCCCAGGGACCACTGCCCCCAGCCTCCAGCATCCACCAATTCATTCAGTGTCACTGAGCACCCGGCATATTCCAAACACAGGTGGAAAAGAGACGTTCAGAAGAGTCAGCGCAGATCGTGCTCCAGCGCAGACACCAGTTCACCCGTCACTCCTTCGACGACGCCCGCGAGCGTCTAGCACGCGCCAAGCACTGGCCAGGCGGTCGGAGACACGCAGGCGTGGGAAGCACTCTTTTTTTTTTTTTTAATGGAGGTTCTTTTTTTGATATGTTATCTTAGAACAAATTATTTGAAAATAATGTATGCTAGTACCATGAGAGCACACAGACAAGCTAGAGCAAAACCTTTGAGAGATTTTAAAGTCTTCTGAATCTTTTCCTTTCTTCGGGAGTAAAACATTTTAACAATATTGTTCCAAAGCAGAATTGCTACCTACTAACTCTCCAGAGGTGTTTTTTTTCTCTTTAGGATCTTAGTGTGCAAATTAGCCCATTTTAAGATTCTACCCAACATACCCCTTTCAACAGTTTGTGTAGGAAGAAAGCACAGTGGAGAACTGCATCTAATTTATATTCCACTTGCGTGACCACGGTCTTTATCACTAAAGGGCTTTCAATCTACTGGAGAAATAAGATATGTTCCTAAGTGAGTTCATTACAGGGTAAGATGTGAGACGTGTTGTAGAGAGATAGCAACGGGATGCTTGGTGCAGCCCTGGCTGCTGTAGCTCAGTGGATAGAGCGTCCGCCGCACACCAAAGGGTCACGGGTTCGACTCCCTGTCAAGGGCATGAACCTGGATTGTAGGTTTGAGCTCCGGCCCCAGTTGTGCTGTGTGCAGGAGGCAACCGATCTATGTGTCTCTCTCACACTCTCTCTCTCTTTCTCTCTCTTCCACTCTCTAAAAAACCAATGGTCAATGGAAAAAATATCCTACAGTGAGGATTAACCAAAAAAAAGACCCAAACAAACAAAAAGATGCTTGGTGCATGTGGAGGAAGATCTGGAAAACCTTCCTGACGTGAAGTGTTTGGACTGGGCCTGAAGGAGCCCGGACCCTTGGAGGGGCCCACACAGACCAGCTTCCAGAGCCTGTCACACCCACGGCTCCTCTTGGAGCACCGTGATGTGAGCCGTGGGACCCTGATGCCCAGGCCTCTGATCCTGGCCTGGTGCCTGCACCACACCCAAGAAAGCTGAACTCGGTGCCAGCGGCAGACCCCTGAGGGGACCAGCCTGAAAGAGGACAAGTGGACAGATCAGAGCCTCCACCCGAAACACCAGAACTGGGGGCTCTGCAGAGAAATCGCCCGCAGCTGGCGCTAAAGCAGGAAGTCGCAGAGCAGAGACACTGAGCAAGTCCTGAAAATTGCCACTCAGCAGCTATGGTGACATCAGGGCCCCTTCCCCACCCCGGCCGGGACAGTGGACACTGGATACCAGCCCAGGCCTGAAGCGAGGGGCAGCAGGCCCTGTCTGCCTGGGGCTCTCGGGGCTTCCCCTGGGTTTCTAGGAGAGCCCCACCCTGCTCTGTAGTCACCAGCCCTGACCTGATGGCTGCCAGGTGGGATCCCTCCGTCCAAAGGCCCCGAGAGGCCGCCCAGGGCACCTGAAAGCCATTTTGGGTGACTGAGACACCAGGCCAAGTCCCCCAAACTCACCTTCTCCATCAGCCTGCGGGCTAGAGTTGCGGCCTCCACCTGGGAGTGCAGGCGGCCCAGAGCTGGTCCGAGGGACGCTCCCACAGTACACGGCCACTGGAGCCAGAACCTTGGCTGGGGACAGAACCGCAAGGAAAGTGGCCTCTTGTCCCCTGAGACCAGCACTCGGGAACAAACTGCCCCAGCACGCGTTCTCTCGGGGTCTCTGCAGCCCATCCCCCCAAACCAGAGCCTGGCCCTCAGGTGGGGACCTGCCACCCCAAGCCCAACCGGCCAGGGCACCGCGATCCCCCAAAGCCCATGACTCCGCTCCTCCCAGCCCCTCGCCGGCTGGCCCCTCTCCCCTCACTCTGTCACCTTCTCCCTCCCGGCTCTGCTCCAAACCCACCGCGGTCACCCTCTCTGCCTCCTATCTGGGCCCCCTTCCCTCACAATCTCCATCCACTGCACGTCCCACACCAGCTGCTGTCACTGGGCCCCCCCTTATTGTCACCCCTTCATTGCCTTTGTCACCCTCACACAGTAGCACCCTAACCTGTGTGTTTGGCTCTGACCCCTGACCCCCCAGGGGCAGAGCAGGGAGACCCATTACCTGCCCTGCTCCCCTCCCTCGGGAGGCCTGCGCCTCTCATCACCTCAGTGGGGTGCTAACTGGCCCTTCCTCTCCGAACCCCTCAGCATCTGGCACCATCAGGCCCCACCGCACGTGCTTATTAAGAGCTTCTCTGTGGGGACGCTGGCCCCACAGTCCTTGGTGACACAGAGCGAGGCTGACTCCGCCCTCAACGGGACCTGAAGCCTGGTGGGGGGACAATGAACAACCAGCAGTAAGAGTGGGGGGGACAGGCAGGGCTCCCCGGGGAGGGACCCCAGAGCTGAGTCAGATAAACAGGAGGGGAGACTCGGCTGAGCACCCGCTCCTTTAAGAAGCCTGTGTCCCCGCTGTGCCCCGCGGAGCCCGGGCACACCTCCGTCTCCCTCCTTCCCCGTGGCCTCTCCCAGGGGGCCGCGGCTCCCTTGCTGTCTCTGTAGCCCCTGAGCTCCTGGGCACTTGATGATCTGCACACTGAGCCAAGGGTCCTGCACCTTCGTGGCTCAGCCCCTCCCACACTCGTCTCGGTGCCATGCGTGTGGCCCTAGCCTACGCCGTGGATAAGCCCCCAGGCAGGTGGAAACCCGGCACGCCACCCCCAAGGCGGAAGGTCCCCAAACCAGGAGTCAGGAGTCTGGGTTCCCATCTGTTCCTGTCCCTGTGCGACCTTGAGGAAATAAGTTCTGTGAGTTTTGGTTCCCAGATCAGCAAAACGAGAGTATGACCGGGGGTCATACGATCTTTTCTAGATTTCCCTTGACCTTCAGCACCTCCCTCTCCCCTACAACAAACAAGTGCCCGGGCAGGGCCCGATGGAGTACTGGTTACGCAGCTGTGTTCACACGGACGCACTGAAGCCCCAGGGGCTCTGCCCTGAGCACAGCGAGCTGTTCCCTGAACTGCTCTGGCCTCGGGCCTCCCTGCGTCCCTCCCAGTGGTCACCTGGCCCCCGTTCCAACCTCCCCAGGGAACAGTGGCTCACCGCCTCCCAAGTACCCATTCCATTGGGGCAGGACCCATCCACCCCCTCACTCTCCAGGGGAAACTGAGGCTCACACAGCCAGGCCCCCGAGGCAGTGCCAGGCCTGGACACTGAGCTGACCACACAGTTCCCACTCTCCTGCCTTGTCAGTGAGGAAAGAGGAGCACGCAGCCCCCCTCCCCCCCAGGCCCCACATCCTCACACTCCCACCACAGGATGGGGCAGCCCCTCAGCTCAGAGAGGAGGCCGAGCTCGGGTCAAGTCCCTAGGACATTCTGAGCTCCTCCCCAGGCCAGGGAGCCCCCAGATAGCAAGCTGCGCTGGAGGGCCAGCGCTGGCCCATGGGGACCTGGGCTGGGATGGAGGCCCAGTCTCCTGGCCACATCTCCCAGACAGAGCCCAGGACCCTGGACAGTGTGAGGAAGACCCTGACCCATGGCTCCCTTGATGCCCTTACCTGGGGGGACAGCGTCACGGTTGCCCATGCCTGGCGGAGAAGGCGCCTGCGAGGTCGTCCCAAGGCAGCAGCTGCCTCCTGGGCTGAGTACAGTCCTCAGGGGTCCAAGGGCCCCAACCTGTGAACATGCAGAACCTGTGGCAGGAGGGGCCGAGAGAAGTGAGTACACATGAATAATGAATGCTTCTAGACACTTCCCAGGAAGCCCATCAGGAGCTAAATGAGGCATTTTATAGTAAAATCTGCCACTGGGCTGAAGGACAGTTCGTTTCTGACATCTGGCCTCTCCGGACGCTTCAGAGTTTCTGAGTGCCAAGGACACGTGCCTGTGGGCGGGGTTCATTACGAAGGGTGTTGGGAGACCCACAGAGCTGGCTTCGCTTGTGGCTCTGATTGGATGCCTTAGGGTCTCAGGGACCGTGGGATTTATCCAGGAGAGGCTGCTACTGTTTCTCCATCGGCTTCGGTTTTCTTTAGAAACCCATTGCTCTGCTGGGGGCCCTGAAGCTCAGGATGAAGGTCGGGCTGTGTGACCCCAACCATCACTCGGGTACCTGGTGGCATCTCCCAGGATCCAGCCCTGTCTTCTTGCAGGGTGTGCCCGTCTCTCTCTGCCCGAAGTTCTCGGCCCTCCTCACCACCTCACTGCCAAGCCAGGCCTCCAGCGCCCCAGCCATTTCATTGTGCTGTGCTGACCTCTCGACCACCCCAAGCCTCCTCCCAGCCTCCCCCCAGCCTCCCTTAAACCTCTGGGCTCAGTCTTCGACTCTTACCCTCAACCTAACCTCATTCTCTTTCTATGTGACAAGTGTCTCACCACAAACCCTGTGACTTCACCCAATTTTATAAATTCTTTGCTGAGATAATGGTGAGCCACTTTCACCCTGACAGGTAGGGAGATGGGTGGCCACGGCTGACCAGTGATAAAATCAGGGGTAAAAGCCACCAATTTCTACTCTACAGTGGCTCCCTCAAGAGAGCACCTGGGCACAGGGCAGGATGCAGTGCCAGCTCCCTTTAGCTGAGCAAGAAATCCCAACTCAGGAACTGAAAGAACCTGTCTTCGGTCTGGAAACCAGCCCCACCCAGGCCCCAAAGGCGGAGCAGCTCCTAGCAACCCTCCTGGTCAAACAGAGGTTCCAGCCCAGCCCTCGCCTGGTCTCGCTGCCTGTGACCTCCAGCTGCTCAGGTTCTCTGTCTGAAGGCAGTTTCCCCACAACCAGGGGGAGAGGACCACTCCCTATCTGCTGACTATGGGGGTAGGACTGGGCCACATGGTAGTGACAAGCAGCGGGGAGTGTCCCTGAGACACAGCCCCTCTCCCAAGCACAGCGGCGGAAGATCCTACTCCACAGGTTCCAACACCCAACCCCTGGCCCCAGTGAGCTGGGGAAGTGACGAGAGGTGGGAGAGGGGCTGCTTCGGGAAAAGCTCCCCGGGGATGTTCCAGGGGACAGATCCCCGCGGCTGAATCAAAGCCAGCAAGCGGGGTCCAGGCCCCGGAGCAGGGAGAGTTGCAGCCCCGGCCTCCCGCCCCCTGTAAGTAGCCGAGTGCAGGCTTCCTATGCAGATTGCAGGCGGACGACAGCGTTTAGCTAGAGCTCCTGTTCTCAGCCTCGGCCGCAGGGCTACGGCTCTGGCTCACCTGGGAACTGATTAAAGTGACAAATCCCAAGTCCCTGCCTGAGGCCCTACTGCATTAGTCTTCTAGGGAGAGGCCACAGGGATCTGCTGTTGGGTTTTGTGTTTGTTTTTTCCTTAACTCCTGACTGATTCTGTTCAAATAGGACTGAGAACCACTGGGCCATACAGTTCAGATTCACTTTATAAGAAGATCCCAGCCCCATTTCTCACCTTTGGTTGTCAAAGTGGTTATTTCTGCCTCAGTTTCCCTAGAGCAATCACTCTCCAAGAAGCTAAAGAGAAGACTTGGAGCTGCCTGACAGTCCAGACAGCATGAGGTTCGGGGGCCACCTCTATGGCAAAGGGCCTTCTGAACACAACTGCCCCCCATCCCACCCGCCACAAACTTCTCAGCAGGCAGAATGGCCACCTGCCCAGACAGGCCACACCTTTCCATGCCCTGAGGGGCAGGAAGGCAACCTGGATCCACCCCATAGCCTGTCCAGGCAACCCAGCAGGTGGAGCCCCTTTGGGACCCTGTCTGGGTCCATACCTTTGACCTCTCAGGCCCTCGGGGTCTCCTAGGCACCTGCCCAGGCTCCTCAGGTGGCTACAGCTGCATATGGACAAACAACCATCTCTTATATCTCATGTGAGAGCAATGGGTGGCTTTGCCCAGAAATTCCACTCCCAGGTGTCTGCCCAGAGAAAACCTTGCACAGGTGAACCAAGAACAAAGTACGAGAATCTTCATAGCAGCTGCATTGATAACAGTAAAAAATTAAAAGTAACCCCAACGCCCAACAGGAAATAGAGAAATAAATCACAGTGTACTTGTGCCATGGGATACTCGGCAGCAGTGACAATGAACAAGCCACTGCTCCACCCAGCGCCACAGGGGAGTCCACAGCGGGATGTTCCGTGAGAGGAGCTGGACACAAAAGGCTCCTTAAGGTGTGGTTCTGTTTACATAAGGTTCAAAGGGAGGTGAGTGTCTATTTATAGACCTGGTGGCTACACGACATTCGCTACATAATCCTTCTTTAAACTGTTGATGGGTTTTATACATTCTATGTCTGCAAGAAGTTGAACCTAAAACAAATAACAAACTTGCAAGCATGCATGCTGGTGAGCAGGGTCTGGTGCCTCTGAGGTGGCCCTGGGCAGCAGGAGACCTTCAGAGGTAGTCTCTCCAGAGCTCAGCTGGACATCCCCCATCAGTGGGACTTGATCCCACTACAGTCCCCTTTCTCCAGATCTGCTAGGCCAAGGCTCCGCACGCTGAGACAGACCAGCCCCAGGAGCTGGCCAGCCTGGGGCACGGTGGACAGCAGGGCAGGGCTGCCCCGCTCAGGCCCAGCCCGATTACTCACCCCTGCGCACCCTCCTGGGGCTGGGCACCACCACGCTCTGCAACCCGCCTCAGTGATGCACCACAGAACACGGCCCCTCCAGTGCCCCAGAGGAAATACCAGCCCTGCAGGCCCCAGCCACCATGGGCCCTTGTCCTGAAGAAGGGGTTCACAGAACCCTCATTTTGGGAGCCCAAAATCTGCCATGGAAAGGAACACAATCATCCCTCCATAAGAACAGCACCAACAAAAGTAGCTTCCGCTTGACACAGGGGCTAGCACACTGGTCGCCCTCCTTCCTAGCTCCACGCCTCCTGAGCAGCCCCAAGGGAGCATTATTTAGCCCCCACTTTACAGATCAGGAAACTGAGGCCCAGAATGAAAAGAGCCTAAGTCGGCACAGCCAGTAAGAGGTGGGGTTGGAATTTCCACCCAGAGCAGAGCCCCTCCAAGGCCTGCACTTCACCTGCACGCCCCCAGCCGGCCCCTGCGCATGGCGCCTTCCCCACTGCAAGCCCCATCCCTCCGGGCACCATAGCTCTTGGCACTAGCAGGGAGCCTTGGCTGATGGGGCCTGGGTTGCATGCAGCTGACCCCCAAACAGCTCTGACAGAGGGCATGGCTGGGGTGGGACAGCCCAGGGCAGCCCCTCCTTCCTTGGCTCACAGCTCAGAGAGCAACAGTCCCTGAGGTGACGCTGAAAGGCCCAGAGCGAGGAAGGCGCCTCCCCACAGCCACACAGCCTCCCTTTCCTCTCACTGCGCCCCTTGTCCTTGCTCCGGAACAGGTCCTAGCGCCCCTCCAAGGACTTCAGGTGTCCCGATCCACCTCCCACTCCCGCCCCCTACAAACAGCTCGGTGGACACGTTACCTCTTACTGCTCCTTCCAGAGGCCAAACCCCTGTCACCGGAGGAATCCAGGCTCCATGTCTCCCTGCTGGTGGGCCCAGGGAGGCAAGGACAGGGTGGCCCACACCTAGCCTGCCCTGGCCCCAGCCCAGCCTCACAGCCCTGGCCGCCGGCCTCCTGTCTGGGCAGGTGCCGGGGCAGCACCGGCCCGCTGCTGGCGCTCCTGCTCCCTGCCAGGCTCTCTCTGAATAAACAAGGCTGCATAGCAACCACTGCTCCGAAGGAGCCCACAGCTCCTTGCACGGAGGAGAGGCAGCCAGGAGACGGTTCCCCTTGGCCTCATTTCCTCTGGGGCTCAGCAGGCACTGGGGACTACAAGGCCAACCCAGCCTGTGGGGCCACCAGAGAGAGAGAGAGAGAGAGCTGGGCCCCGCTGCAAAGGAGCACACGGCAGGCGTGGGGCAGTGTGGTTTTGCTGCAGTTGGCCTCCGGGCCCAATTCTGGTTCAGCTCTCAAGCTGCTTCTAGAGGCAGGGGGCAGAGAGCGTGAGCGCCAGGCCTCGGCTGCAGGCAGAGCTGGGTTTGAGTCCTGATCCTGCTTCTTCCAGCTTTGTGACCTCAGGCTGCTGCTTAACCTTTCTCAGCCTCAGTTTCGTCATCTGTAAAATGGGGACAACAATGGTACTGACTTGGTAGGGTCGCTGTAGGATTAAACAGGGCTTGGATCAGGCTCATGATTACGTCTAGCCCGTAGCTGGCCTCCACCACTGCTGGCGCCTTTCCCCAGAACGACCCGGACAGCAGAAAGTCAGTGGCCTCCGCCACAACCACAATCCACAGCCACAGCTCTGGGAAAATGTGAACGCTAGCAGCCAATATGTGCTTCCTCATGGAGCCCAGGCCCTTGGGCAGATATACCGAGGCTGGCCTCTCCCCCCTCAAATGATAACTGCTCCCACCCCTCCTACCCCTCACCATCCAAGGGGCACTGGGGGAGGCAGGGACCTCCCCAGTTTTATGCAGCCTTGCGATGAACCACTTGTGCAAAAACACTAAGAATTTTTCCAGGCAGGTTTCCCACCCACCCCAAGTTCTTTGCAGAGGGATTTGCAGACATGTGAAATACAGAGTGGGGAGAGCTGGCAAGAGGCTCTTCACACATCCAGGAGGCCAGGCCGACTGATTTACACGGGCCCGGGGCTTGC